CCAGTGAAGTCATCAAAACTGAGTAATTTTGTCCCTTCAGATGCTTTTCATAGAGATGCATTGAGGACACACTGCATTCAAGCCTTTTGCCACAAACCGCCAATCCAATGCAGCTATATATGCAATAAATCCAATGCTTCTTATATAGAAGCATAGGACGAACACAGGGTCTCGCATCAGCATACTTTGCACACTGACACCAGACATCAAATAAATTTAATATTTCAGACATCCCAACAAGAAAAAATGCATTTTAGGAAGGTGGCTTCACAAAATACATCCCCCCCCTCATGCGCTCATCCCCCCTCACCTCCCAACACACAGACAGACATAGATACACGTACTGGCACAAAAACACTGACACACAGATACACTCATATACACACTAACACATATACTCATATACACACACTGACACATACACTCAGATACACACACTGGCACTCAGATAAACACTGGCACATACACTCAGATACACACACACAAACACACACACTCAGACATACAGACACACACTGGCACATACACTCATATATATACATTGACATACAGACACACAGTGGCACATACAATCGGATAATACGCACTGGCACATACAGATAATCTGACACGCACGTGTCACACTTTATAGATTTGCAGCCACCCTCCTGTTAGCTTACCTTTGTGCCCAGCGGGGTGGCTTGCTTGAAGTTATGGTGGTGGCTGAGGCTGATGGGAGTGAGCATGCATGCTCACTCCAGCCTCTCCTGTACCTCCATACTGCTCTCTTCTCCTCTGCTGACTCCTTCCTCCAGTCTTCCCGGACGGGCAGCTCTTTGTGAAGCAGGGAGGGCACGGTCGGCTTTTTTAAAAGAGCCGGCACCCGAACGGCCTCTGTTTAATGGGTAATATTGGGATGTTGGGGGGCTGCAAATCATAAAAAATATAATGAAACTCTAACGCACACATCAGATTGTGTCAGGAAGCTGCATTCAACATGCAGGAGTATTGGGATGTCTGATATTTTTAAAATTGGCAGTCCTTATTGTTAGTCTGACAGCCATCAGTAGGTGTGGAAACTGCAACATGTAAACAGTGCTGTTTCTCAGAAATGGCACTGTTTGCAACAGAAAGCTGTGCCCCAAATCACCTTATTAAGAGAAAATAATTTTTATGCTGGCTTAGATTGTCCCTTTAAGCATTAACAATGGGGAACATCAATCCTAAAACACACAGAGAAAATGTAGATATTATTGTAAAAAATATTGCAAAGGAGGCAAAATTAAGCATACTCTGATGTGTGGAGTGTCTCAAGATATGGGCCTGACATTTTTCTTCACATTAATGACAAACTATGATAAAAACTTGGAAAATGCTCTGGACATGCTGTCAGAAATGCAAAAAAACTTATGCATGGTAAACAACAATACTACCGAAATCACCGAAACAGTGGATTGTGGTAAACTGACAAATGAATTGCACAATGTACACTTGTCCACAGCTAGAGAGATTATCACAGACTTTGTGTTATCAAGTTTGTTTATTTTGAATTCTATTAGTGTTGTGTAATCACCACAACCTACAAAAGAGCTTATAATCTATGGCCAGTAATTCTGAGCTGGAACGTGCATTGTTTTCAGGTACAGGGAGTGAGAAATGAGCGGATAGTGGTCTCAGTGTCTTGTGTTCAGAACGTTGTGGTCTCTTTATCACTGATGTCTCAAACTTGGCCACAGTCACCTCTGCTGGAATGTAGAAATTCCCCAGCTGTTATCCCATGAACAGGAGGAACTTGGGATATGTCCCAAAAACGTTGAGTGTTCCCAGGGAACCTATTCTAACCCCACTTCGTATTCTTTCCATTCTGTCTTTCAAGTCTATTAAAAAAGAACATGCCATGTTAACAAACATTACATAAATGAACACTAGATCTACTGTGTGTATCATTTATTCATCACGCAAGTATTAACACATATTAAATGCATTTGATAATCAAGGTCTGTTTGACATCTTTTGGATTTTCTTGTATGGCTGACATAGTAAGAGCACCAATTAGACACATGAATCAGGAATATTATTTGTATACTGTATGATATCTGCCAATAGGAGACCATGTGGGTGATTTATGAAAGTGTTGTGTTCTGAAAAGTGTGTGTGTGGGGGTTGAGGGAGAGTAAACATCAGGTTAATGTGCCTGTTCCTTAAATTGGTTTCTATGGTGATTGTTACACATTTAGAACTTTGCACCACAACACGGTACTCTTATCCATCTCCCACTAAACGTCTTTTTAGAGATGTTTTAAGTGCAGGAGATGTGGAACTACTTCACTTAGACCTCACTGTTAAATTAGAATTTATCAGAGAAATAAAAATAGGAATCTTACTGAAACCCTGCACATACAGGCTCCAAGCTCAATGACCACTTCAAATCACTGAAATGATTATGGTGCTTGAGGTAACACTTTAGAATACAGCTTACCATGTTATTGCAATGTATATAATCACTACTACAATTATAAAATAGATTGTAAACTTTGACGCACCACCTTACTTATGATTTACCATTTCTTTCTCTGCAGGTATAACAGCCTGGTGACCAGCCAAAGAGCTAACATTATCATTGCTGTCTGCTGGCTGCTTTCTTTTATCATTGGATTAACCCCTATGTTGGGCTGGCACAAGAACTTTGACAATTCTAATGAAACCAATAAAACCAACACCTCTACGATGTCACCTACATGCAGCCCTCCCATGCTAGAGTGCTTGTTTGAAAGTGTGGTAACCATGGATTATATGGTATATTATAATTTTTTTGCCTGCGTTCTAGTACCCTTGCTGCTAATGTTGGGCATATACTTGCGCATTTTCATGGCAGCACGGCGACAACTAAAGCAAATGGAACTTAAAGTGGTATGTGGAGAGCGATCACGTTCCACGCTACAGAGGGAGGTTCACGCAGCCAAGTCTTTGGCCATCATTGTTGGGCTATTTGCTTTGTGCTGGCTACCTTTACACATTATCAACTGTTTTAACCTGTTCTGTGAGGGGTGTGATCGTCCCCCTACATGGCTCATGTACTTTGCCATTCTCCTTTCCCATGTTAACTCAGTGGTGAACCCTTTGATTTATGCCTACCGAATTCGTGAATTTCGACATACATTCCGTAAGATATTACACCAAAACCTACTGGGCAGGGCTGAGCCATTCCAATCAAGGACCGTCAGTTCCAAGTCACTGTCTTATGGAGCAGACGAAGAAGCAGGACACATCCATATTCGTCACAATAGCTCCATACATAGTACTCACTCCAACGGGAGTTGCAAGTTGAAGGATGTATGGCATCAAAATGGGTGTCAGACAGGACATAAGGTGGAGAGGACAGGATGGCACAAGTGTGAAAAACAAAAAAAGGAGACACTGGAGATATCCCAAATTAAATCACTCATGGGAACCTGAAACAACTATTTTAGATTTGGTATTCATACAGGACATGTGAGCAGCGTGGCTCAATAGGTGGACTTTTGCTTGAAAACAATGACCTTTTTGACTTGTTTTATTTATGAAACTGTTTTGCAGTGTTAGCTAGGACACTTGTTACTGTGTCCCACTTTGCAGTGATCTGCAGGGGCCGAAATACAAAAACTCACTTCGGCCTAGGGGTATTTAATGAATGCTGGACTCAGTGCTGTGCACTTTAATTTGTGCTGTGAGACAACAACCCAAAATGTTTGATGTTTTTATATCGAACATTAAATATACTTTCTGGTTAGTCACCTAATCAAGAGTGCTGGATAACCTCAGAATTCTGAAAAGTTGGTGTCTTTATTCTATCACAGTCAATGTCACTTGACCTAGGGTCTTTCACATTTTTACCCCTCCCACCCATTAAGGAAACACATGTGTTTCAGTTGTACAACAAAAGAATCAGATTTCCCAAAATAGACTTTTTCCCATAGACCTCTCAGGAGACCCCCAGTCTAAGTAGGAAGATTGTGTTCCTATCCAGCTGTCACGGCAGCATATTACATGCAATATCATAAACCAACATGCTGTTCTGTAGCCTCACTCTCCAAACAGTCCAAAGTCAACTGAGTGAGGCTGTTGGTCTAATTATTGAGAATTCCTACTCTCTACATAGCACAGTGTCACTCTAGGCTCTTCGATAATCAATTCATAATAGTAATACATAACAGGCTTTCCTAAAAGCATTACCCCTCCTTTATTGTTGCACAAGTAACTTAAAACACATAAAAATAGCCTCACTATTTACATTGGCCACCCACTTGTCTGTTTGAAAATGTTCCTGGCTATGTGTTGCAGAAATTAAATGTTTTAGCACAACCTCGTTGAGATGGTAGTTGGGTTCCAAGAATCGGGCAGAACACAGAGTTTGTCCCAGATCTTCAAATGAAACAGTTCATCTCCAGCTGTGTTAGACATAACACTGACATATCCCAGACTACAGCCGCATGCAACATCCAGCCCCCCTGCCCAGTGCTTTATTACATTATCAGTCAGAGTTTCCTGTTGAGACATCACTGCAGGCCTGAGGGTGACAGAGAGGAGGGGGTAACATATGTCTTACCTACTGCTTTCTGTACATCACTGCATCGAGGCACATAACAAGTCTACAGAGAATGAACACTGAGGAAAAGGAGATAAGAGAACAAAATAACTTATTATCTAACCATTGCAGCATTCAAGTTTCTCAACTTATAAGTGTCCCTTAAATTTTCAGTTTTCTACAAAAATTATTAAACATATATCCAAGTACTCACAGGTTTGTCTGTATCTACTATAACTAAAGAATTGAAGGGGACTCCCCCCACCTTCTCCCAAACATTCAATGCATTAAAATATAAAAATACAAAAAAAATTACAAAACAGATAAAAAACAAAACAAAAAGTTACTTTACTAAATGTTTTCTGGAAAATCGACAGCTGCTCTAGAACCATTCATTGTTTGAGAATTCCCATCCAGTCATGGCCTTCCTGTAGCTGAGAACATCTAATAAATCCCAGTACAGTTCAGGTTCATACACAGCACTCACTTAAAAAAATACATGAATGAAACAACTGTGCAAGCTATTAGATGCTGTAGAACATCATCATACAAAATGGATTCCTGTTTTTGCATGACTAAAGTTAGTCACAGTGCAGGTATTTTCATAGAAAGCTATGAGAGAACCTATAAAATTCAATGGGAACGTCCATGCAATATATAGCAAACAATACATGACAGGACAGCTGCTTGTCCCATAAAATATATACTAAGCATCAGTGATCACAGGGCTTGGAGTGACCCTCTAATATATTTCCCAAGTGTTAAATTGAAGGCTATTAAAACATAGTGGTGTTCTCAGTGCTCATAACATAAACAATAGAATTACTGTTATTCTAGAAAGCTAATTATGTCCTCGCTACATGTGGTAAAGTGTCTATGTCTCAAGACGTGACACTTGCAGATTCTCCTATCCTCATACCGATGACTGCATGAACAGAACCCCTCCACTGTTGTGGCATTTGACGTCATTGATTATATGATAGAATCCATCTGTGAGCAGGATACCGCATCCCCAAGACTATTGTGAGAACACTATAACAATTTCATGGTAAAGGGAGGGGGTTGGAGGGGATAAGGGTTGAGGAAGGATGGTTCCTCTGGGATCTTCAGTGGAAAAGAGACATCTGGTGGCAAGCATCATATTTTAGACAAAAACAACATAATGAGCAGGTTAAGAACATGTAATAGTTGAAGATTATTCCTCGAACAATCCTGGCTATATTTACACTCCTAAACTTTCCTATCACCTCTGCTACCTGTCTGATGGGGGAGGCTACCTCTGCCTCCTGCCATCATCAGGAGAGGCCGGTCTTCAGAACATTAGATACATGTTTATCTTATTGCAGATACCAATGCAAATGTTACATACAAAACTGTGATTCATGCAAAATGGTGCTTTGTCTAAAGGCAAAGTGAAATGACTGTTAAAACTTAAGATGTTATTTATTCTTGTTAAACCTGCAATGTGCCTTATACTCAAAAAACCACTACAGTCACACAGACCATCTCAATAAAGTGGTCTTGGTGCAGTGGTTCTGTAGCTTTAGTCGTTCAAGATAAAATATTGCTGTTTTGCAGTAATGTCAATGTTTACATTGCAGGATTTAAATTAAATGTCTTTAGAGGCTGTCAGTCTGACAGTCACTAAAGGTACTTCCGATAAAATAGCTAAGTAAACACGACTTTAATGGTCGTCTTCCAAGATTGTCATTTCAGCAGAAGCATCTCTAATAGCTGTGTAAAACTAGGTGACACAGCAGCTCATAGTAAAACACTGGATTCAATGCTTTCCTATGAGAAGCACTTGATGCGTATGCAGCTCTCGACACGCATGTGCATCAGTTCCAGTTCCCTATGAGGAGCATTGAGTTGGACCAGCAATGAGGAAACAATGTCTCCTTTATGATGTTGTGGGATGCGGTGAGGGCAGCAGCGCTGAAGTAGTCTCAGCACTGGAATATGGCGAGCAAAATAGTTTTAAAATATATTTTATGTCAAATAGTTGTCGTGAAGGGGAGGGGGGGAAGCTATGAACTAGGGCAATTTTTAATGCCCAATACTATAATGTTCCTTTAATTTCACTACACTGCGGCAGTGAAGAGATTAGATGGTCCACTGGCTAAGCGTGTTGGGTAGCAAACAGCTGGAGTGCCATCTCTAACCATGTAATAAAATGGCTATATGTGGCCTGGAAACCAACTACTACTATTAAGAAATTGGCCAATCTGAGATTATAACAGCACATTAACACATCACACTCCCCTTCCTTTCTTAATTTTATAATAAATGTTTTCTACTATTGCTGCAAACATTGGAATACAATAATAACAATAATAATAAAATAATATAGTTAGATAATATATTTAGTATTAGGCTCAAGAAGCTGCCCACAAACCTCTCTATACTAGTGGCCAGGAGACCAATGTCCTGCTGATGAGATGCTTTAAATGTTTTTGTGACATGGCTAACAATATAAATTTATCGTTATGCTAGCGTGTTGCAAAAGACATACGAATGTATTTAATAAGGCATGACTAAATAGTCCTAAAAGTTAAATATGGTCATACTTCACCTTCCACCAACATGCCACCAATTAAATCCAATCTATATCCCTTTTACAATTTAAACAGTTAAAGGGTATGCATAAAAATAAGATATACAAAATGGTGAAAAGCAATGGGATTTACTGGGAATCGGCTGGAAAAGTTCTTCAATCAGGTCACATAGATGGCTGTGCCAAGGGCATCGCAAAGTTTTTAACCCCTTAAGGACCAAACTTCTGGAATAAAAGGGAATCATGACATGACACACATGTCATGTGTCCTTAAGGGGTTAAAGGAGCACTAGAGGGTCAGGAAAACAAACATGTACAGGGCTGAGGAGGGGGCAGGGGCTGAGTAAGGTGGGATGGGGCTGAGGAGGGGGACAGGTGCTGAGGAGGGTGACAGGGGCTGAGGAAGGGGACAGGGACTGAGGAAAAGGGACAGGGCTGAGGAAAGGGACAGGAGTTGAGGAAAGGGGCAGGGGCTGCAGTAGGGGACAGGGACTGAGGAAGAGGGACAGGAGCTTGGGGGGGCAGGAGCTGAGGAAAGGGACAGGGACTGTGGAAAGGGAAGGGCCTGAGGAAAGGGACAGGGACTGAAATAGGGGACAGGGGCTAAGGAAAGGGACTGAGGAAGGGCACAGGGGCAGATGAGGAGGGACAGGGTTGAGGAAGGACAGGAGCTTGGGGGGGGGCAAGGGCTGAGGAAGAGGGACATGGGCTGAGCAAGGGGATAAAAGATAAAAAACCTAAAGTGCATTCCCCTCTCCCTGAGGCTTACCTTGGGCCAGGAGGGGTGGGACATGATCTGGAGCCTGCAGCCTGCAGTGAATGGAGTCGGCCGCCTCTCCTGATGATGTCAGGAGGAGGGGGCGTGACTTCCTCTGCTCTTCTCCCAGACTCCCCAGCGGTCCTGGGAGAAGAGCAGTGAAAGTCACGCCCCCTCTTCCTCCTGCCATCATCAGGAGAGGCCGACTCTACTGGCTGCAGGCAGAGTAAGGTGAATTTAAAAATCTGAGCCCCCAGCCAGAAGCAGGGGATTCAAATTTGTGCTCCCCTCCGCTCTGACGGCCACTTGTGCCAACCCTGGGTCCTGCAGGACTAGTAACGGCAACAGCGTTCCTGCTGTGTAAAAAGTGCGCTTGAGCCCTGCTTTTGGGTATGAAAATGTTTTTTTATTATAATAATCAAAAAACGTCAGTTTTTTAGTGAAAAAATGCAACAACAAAAATATAAACATTAATTTTTCAGGGTTTGAGACAAAGTGGTTACTAAAAAAGACTGGACATACCCCATTTTGAATACCCTGGGTTGTTTACTTTTGCAAATGGTATGCCATGATGGGGGAAATTCTCATTTCTTGGCCGCCATACGGTCTCAAATGTAATATAACCAAGCTGGCAAATTTCAATGTGTAAAAACTGAAATGGGCAAGCCTTATATACTTTCCAAAACACCATAAAACCTGCACATGGGGCACATAGTTATACTTGTGGGACATCACAACATGCAAATATGTGTGTTTTATTGCAGGAAAAGCTAACAGTATTATGACATTCACAGTCAAAATGCCTTGCATTTATTCATTTCTTAATTTTTTTTAGATTTTACTCATATTAAATAGTGTTCCATGTATAAGTATTTTATGTGAAATTAAAGCTCTGTTTTTCCTTAGCAAAATGATATATAATATGTGTGGGTCCACTTAACATGAAAGAGATCAATTTTGGTTAAAAACATATATAGTGGAACCTCGGAACTCGAACTTATTCTGTTCCCAAATGCTGTTCGAATTCCAATTTGTTAGAGAACCGAATCAACATTTCCCATAATAATTAATGTAAATTTGATTAATCCGTTCCAGACCCCCAAAATTACAGCATTTTAACACAAATGTTACAGTTTAATAATGCCTTACACGCATAAATTCAGATAGAAAAAAAATTAATAAACACAATGTACAGTAAATGAAAAGAAAATGTAACTCCACTTTACCTGTAATGATGAGAGTGGATGGCATATGTGGAAAGGAGAAGAAATATTATTGGTTGGATGGGGATAGGTAACTGTTCTTCTCACATTTAAAATGTGTCTAAAGTGAACATGTTTGTGGCATGATTTGTTCGGGTACCGAGAATCGTTCGTGAACCGAGATATTTTTTTCTCAAATTTTTTTGTTCGACTACCGAATTGTTTTTATTGGAGCCACCGTATAAAGCATACAAACCACTTGAAAAAGCCCTTTTTGGGAGAAACGCGTTGTGGATTGTTTTTATTTGTTTCATAAAGGTATATTGGTTACTTTCCCATAGTACTGTGCCATATTCATTTTTCTTATTATCTGGCATCCTGATTCATATATCCAGTGAGGAACTCACCAAGTATCCTAGGTGGGGATTAGGTCACCTACGCTTATATACTTGAGCGGGTCACCTGCCTAGTAAATTGTGAGTATATTTCTACCTCTATTACTCCTGGTTTACCTTTTTATACAGTGAGCACTATTTTGGCTTTTCATGCTCTTTGATTTTATATACACCCAGCTACAACGACATCCATAGACACTGCCTTCCAGCAAAATCGTGGAGGATCAGAACCACTATATGTGCACTACACCAGAGCTGGTTTGAGCTTTACCACATGTGAGTAGAAACTTGGATTTCTCTTAAGATTTACACTCTTATTTTGAACTTATTGCACTATTGGAGTTTTATCTTTTTTCCTTACATGTATCCATGGGACCTGATCATCTTGGTTACTTTTAAGTCTGAAGAAATACCCAAGCATTAACAGACTTTTACTTCTATCCTCATTTTAGATTGCTATTATCGTCTTGAGGTATCTGTATTTTTGTCCATTTTTTTTTTCCAGTGTTCTTATTTTGCCGTTTAGTATTTATTTCTCTATGTGCGCACCCTATATTTTTGTTTAACCATATAAAGCATAGGTTGCCAAAAGGTAGATCCTGAGTTGCTGTACAACTGCCATGATGCTTAGCCAGCTGTCGACCTACAATTTACCCATCCTTGCAGGGTTGTATTTCTGTGCAGTGTGAACGTAAGCATATTTCTGTATTCAGTATATTTCTGTGAATGTTTATGTGTTTGCGTATGTTGCTGGTGTTTGAATTCAGGTAATGTGTTTGTGCGTATTATTGGTGTTTGAACGCATTTTTTTTTGTGGTGTTGGTGTTTGAATACCGCATTGTTTTTGTGTATAGTGTTGCCATTTGTGTATAGTGTTACAATGCATGGTATTTCCATGCAGACGTGTATTCACAAATACACATGCAATGAAACACATACAGGTGCACATTGTCATACACTTAAACACTTATACACTGCCACAGACACATATACACACAGATACACTCATAGATACATACACAGATTGACACACATACATGTACAGATACACACTGACATACATCCACAGTTAACCACATTAATCCGCTAAAAACAAAAATGCATTATTAGATGCAAACATTGACACACACACATAGAAATATTTACCTTCTCTCTGAGTGTAGCTCTTCCTCCTATGGTGCACACTTCCAAAATATCGTGCCTACCTTTCCCTATTGATATCCTACTAAAGGGTCGCAGGACCCCACCGGGCCACTTATCACTTCTGCCTTTCTATCAGGTTTGCCCTAAGTAGATGGGCTAGCCAATGAACCCCCAACATCTGTGGGCCTTGGTGCAGCCTCACCGGCAGTAGTTCCACCACTGTGTCCAACTTAATTGATACTGACACAGGGTTTTTATACACGTCTTTGTTTGTACAGTGATCATAGGTCAACCAATAACAGTAAGGACTTGTGAAAGCAACCAATCACACTAAGAGGTTTAACTGAATTACATCGAGTTTTAGAAGGAAGGATAAGGAATAGTGGCGTAACCAGAGTTACAGTTGCTCCGGGGCAAAACAAAATTTTGAGGAAAAATTCTCCAAGCCAGTTATTTTTCCAGTTTTGAAAAAACAAAATCACTTAGAATTTCCAATTCACATTATATTAAATAACACTGTGTTTTTCTATGTACACTAGAACAGTACTTCAGGGTACTTTTCTGTTTGCCCCAGCAAAAGGCAGGGAGAAAGTGGGTGGCACTGACTGGCATTTCTCCCTGGTGACATGGCCGGTCGAGTCTGTGCAGGAAGTGTATGTTCACTGTAATGAGATTGTAATGGAGTAACAGATAATATTCAGGATGAGATGGAGCAGCTGCCTGTTCCAGATACACAGCAGGTTAAGTGCAGAGGTGTGTGCTAGCAAGCATGTAACATCGAGGGATGCTTTGATAAAGCCTGGGCAATGCAATCTTTCCTCACGCAATCTAAAACCCTTTGTGCGTGTATCCTTATAACTCAACAGGAAGAGTAGCTTACCACATTCTGTTTTTTATATTTTGCTTAAGGGCACATTCACACATAAGGTGTTACTTTGTTATGATTACACACACGAATGGCCACTTTATTAGAAACACTACATGTTAATACAAATAGACAAACCGAATCGTTTTCAACTCAAGGGTTTATTTACCAAGTCCAAATTGTAGCAATCTACAAAAATAAAAAAAAGGCTAAAAATAGCCTAGCTCTGACTACAGTTGAGTTACAGAATTTTGCATTTTTGAAGTTTAGTGAATAAACCTGTACATTATCTATGCATATATATTTGGTCAAAAGGCTTAGACGTGCAGCCAAACAT